GAACTTTCTTTTATTCCCTTTAAGCAAAATTACCAAAAGTATAAATCAATGATATATCAATAACAAGTTTTATTTCTAATATCATTTGCTTTTATTAATTAGTAATTTATTCTTTTATTACTAATAAACATGCCAAGTATAATAAATTACATGTTCATTGCATTAAGTTAAAGTACAGAAATTGAAAAAGCAAGCGGTACAAAATAAAATGAATTTTTTTACAAGTTGCACACGTAGAATTTAAGTTTGTTAAAAGTAAATCTGCCAAAATTATCCAACAAAGTTGACATCATTTTGAAAAGAATTATCACCACCATAACTAAAGTAACCTCCCTTGAGTTACAAAGATTTACAAACAAGGCAAATTCCAAGATTTAATTCACTTTATTAATTGCACTTTAATTTTAATTAATTTTAAGCATTTTACAACATTATATTTTAATCAATTAATTTTTGAGATTCAATTCCTATAAATTTTTTGAAACTCACACACAATTTAAAACTTTTATCAATAAATTATATTAAGATTTGGAAAAGGAGAACTATTCTTACAGATTAAAATGACTAAATTGTTTCTGCTTTTATAAGTACGTTAACCTTTTTAACGATATTATCTACCGCCATTTTCATTATTATTCGTTTTTACGGACAATTTTCTATAAAAATATCGAACAATTTAGCTCAGATATTTTTAGAGTTAGTATATCTCATTAACCAATTGATGTTCATAAAATTTCTGGGATATAATGTGTCAAGTGAGTTTCAGCTTTCCTGATAAAAAAAAAAAAAAAACTGATAATAATTTATTTTAAGAAGTGTCAGATTTTATTATGCAAATAAACTAAATTGAACTTCAGTAAGATTGCCTCTCTGTGCATTTTTTATAAATACTTTCATTGTAATTGTTCAGATGGGCTCTTCACTATGGTACTAAGACACTATGAATTTAAACACAGTACCAGACTGGCATCAAGATATCATCAACTTACAGTTGAGCGAGCTAGATGTAGCCATAAGTTCTATGCTAACTGTTTCATTTTTCACACTTCTCACTTGTGGAACTACTTTCAGCTCCATGTTTTCCAGCCAACTTTAATCTCCAAAAATTTAAATGCAATGTCAATTGCTATCTACTGTCCTGCTGATTACTATTTCCTCTTCCCACTCATTATTAATGTTTCTGTTCCTAATTCTTCTACATGCTATAACCACTTGTGTCTTAGTGGCTTTACTGCTTTGCATGGGATGATACCAATTAAAAAAAAAAATTCTAAATAAATACAAAATATATGTTTGATTAACCTTAATATAATAAACAAATAAGTAACATAATAAATAAATTATTATTCTATAATTCTATGTATTAATGTGGGTATCTTCATCGGTCTTTCATATTTACTTTGGTAATTTTTCTATTGTTTTGACTTTAACATCACTTGCAGCAATTTTCATTGCTTGCCATGTATGTTCTTTGCTTGAATATTATTTTCCATCCTTATTTACGTCTCTTTTGATTATAATGTATAAGTTTTCCATTGGATTAATATCTAGAGAGACTTGGGGCCATTCCATTAATTTTATGCTTTTGAAGCCTTTTTTTGGAAAGGTGGGTAATAAGGAGCTTTGCAGAAGGAACATTGTCTTGTATGAATAGACTCTTTAGCTTAAAGCTTCTTGGTTCTGAGTTCTACAAACTCAAAAAATGTCTTCTCTAAGAACTTACAATGATTCTCTGCATTTAGCATCTTATCCTCATCAACTTACACATTTCTTTTTGTGATATTTACTTAAAGGTGTTAGTTTTGTTGCTTTCATGTTTTTAGCCAGTGTTTTTTATCTGCATTTTTTTATCTCTTTTTACATTTTACAACACCATGTCCTTCAAATACTTTCTTGCTGGTCAATCCACTTCTAATCTCTTTTTGTGACATTCTTAAAGTTATTTTTCTTTATTCTTTTTATTAGCCAATATTTCCAGTTTCTTTTATGATCTGATGAAAAACATGTCAGTTGCATAATAAAATCTCACACCACCAAATAAGTTATTCTAAGTATATGTAAGTATATCTAATAAAAACAGATATTTTTTTTACAATGATGTTCACCCTGTGCAAGGCTCAAGAGCCACTTGAAGTAAAGGGTTACAGAATAAGAGGCACCATTTATGGGGATATGTGAGGAAGATAACGGTTGACTCTTGACTTGATCATGTTAAGACTATTGTGATTGGCTAAGCATCCTCTTGGAAGTCAGAAGAAGCTGCTTGAATGGAACATACATCTTACCAAAGGAGTAGAAATAGAACGAGGGTGGTTCACTACAATATGTGTGGCATGACAGATCTTAGCCATGAAGGTTAGCACTGGTAAAACTAAGGAATGTAGTTCATTTGAACATTTTTTATGGAAATAGTGATAGGTCAGTGAGAGGCTTGTGACATTTTGTCTGTCGGAAAGGGGGTTGCAGGGTGGAAAATAATTCATCACCCACAAGGATGCCAAGATGCTTTTGAACTCTATTGAGACTGGAAAGTGAAAACTAGGCAGCTCTTGCCCATATATGGAAGCAGTACTTGATTTGGCTCTTGTAAAGGTAGAGGATAGGAGGAGGAGTCAGGTATATACTGAAATAGTACAGGGAACTGACCATTTTTCCAGTATCTTTAGTGAAGAATCATATGTACAAGTTCCTCTTGAGGTCTGGGTTGAGTTTAAGTCTTGATAGGTGCTCAAGGCATGGGCCCTACCTCAGAGAATACCCATTTATTGCAATAGGTGAAAATTCAGAGTATATCTAATAAAAACAGATATAAGATCAAATTCATATGATATATTTATGAAATAAATGTAAGTATATACTGAAAATGTTACCAATATTGGTTAATACTAATTTTATTATGCAAACATTGACTTGAATAATAAAATCTGATATAAAATAAATTTTATGATTACCTTAACAGATTACCTGACAAACTATAAAACAGTAAAAATATTATCCTGAATTTTTAATATCTCATTTCTTAATTCAATTATATTAATTTTTCTTTTGGTATTTTCTTAATTTAAATTTAAGTATTTTTTTAAAGAAATTTATTATTATTTTATTCTGTTGAGCTAGTTCAGTCATTCATGAGTCCATCACGTCAATTATCATGGTCCAGCAACAAAGTCAGAAGGTCATTAGGGTGGCATTATGTGTCATAACATGTTTGGTCAGTGTAGGTGGTTGCTGAATAACAAACCCATTTTACCCTATGGAGTGATGTCCAGAGCAGTAGATCACTTGCAAATTATCAGATAGGAATCAGGTTTATTGTGAAATTCTATCAAAACATATTTGAACTTTTAAAAATGTATTCTAATAAAAATATCCATATATTTCTTTTTAGACAACTTCAAACAGAGATTGTAAAAAAGTTAAAATATTTTTGATAGAATTTCAAAATAATCTGGTTCACAACATAATTCATTTATTCATTCATTTTCTACAGCAGGTTATTTAAAGCCAGAAAATATTTTTGGGGGAATTGTAAAAATGTATAAAAAAATGGTTTAGTGATACAAGTATAAGATAATTCACTGAAATATCAGAAGCATTGTTTACAAGATAACAAAAGATGGGAAAAGTAGTTGAGATGTCACAATATATTCTGAACCTAAAAAAAAAAAAAAATAAACGTTTCAGAATAATAACAGACAAAACCAGAAATTGGGATGTGTGGTTAGTGTAAAGGTTATTCCTGCAGAATGGAAATCAGTAGGACTGAGTTCAAATTCCAGCCTAGCCTATTGGATTTACTTTTGCACAAATGCTCTTGGGAAAAGCATGACTCTATCTCTTCTACCTATGGGTTAAATACCAGGGTAGACAAGGCTCTCTAGCCATGGGTAGCAACCAGTGTAAGAGAAGAAAAACTTTGATCTCCAAACCATGGAGAAAGCAAAAGAAAACCACTCCACTCTGTTTCTCAAGAAAGCACAGCAGTTCACAGATAATAAAGAAAAGGAATTTGAGAATAGCTATGATTACTTACATTCTAAATGGAACATGGCATTTAAAAACAGAAAAAATTATTAAAATCAGTATAAAAATTTTATTGTTAAAACAATATTTTCATACATCCTTTGAATTTCAAATTTAAAAGAAAACATTTTATGGCCTTAAAATTATTTTAAAAATAATTTGTTTTAAGAATCACAGGATTTTTTTTTTCTAAATTTTGTTTCTTTTTCTCTCTCTCTCTCTCTCTCTCTATGCTGAAAACCAACTTTGGATTAATGTGAGAAAAATTTCGATAATGACAAAACATTTTTTACCTCCCTTGAAATGGCCTCGTTCTATGCGTTATTCATAAAACACTAAAAAAGGCAAAATTGATTGAAGAGTGAAATTTGATTTGGCTTAATAGAGTAATAATAAATCTTAAAATTATTTTAATCTAATGTTTTATCTAATTTCTGGTAATAAAATCATAAAACAAGTTTTTCATTTACATATTGTTAAAATAGTCAAAAATAACAAAACGTTATACTTAAAAAAAAAAAAAAAAGAAAAGTAAAAGAACAAGTTACATATATAGATGTTCCACAAAGCATCCAAAAAATATTTTGTTTCCTTGTAATTATTGATAATTTTCTCAATTAACTAAAAGGAACAATTTAAGAATTGTTGGAATATATGTGAGCTGTGAAATTAGTGATAAAACAAAGTATTTGACATTCTCATCTTTCTCTTAATTGCTATTGGACTGATATTTATCATTCTCGGTGTTTTAGCTAATTATATCTAATTGTGTTTTTCTTCATTTGTGAAGCTCTGCTGTTTCATCTTTGGGTTATTTTATTACAGGCAGAGTTGTTTACCTTGAATAACCATTCTGTTGAGAGAAGCTGCCTGCTTGGCAGATGTGGGCTGGGCTGCAATATTGTGGTTTTCCTTCTACCTTCTCTCTATAGAAGTAGTTTTATTCTGTTTGAGAGTGCTGCTATGAAGGGTGGAGAATGAAGCATTTCTCCTTCCATTACAAGGAATTAAAGGAGACTGACTTAATTTTCCTTTACTGCATTTACAGCATTCTTATTTTTCTTCTTTATTTTCTTCTCTATTTCTCTTTCATTTTTGCTTTACTCTTTTTCTTCATGTTTTCTGTTGTTTTTTTTTTTACTATTGGTTTTCATCTTTTCTGTTTGTTACTTGCCTTCATTTTCTATATTGTTTTATTTTATACCTCACAAATTCTAATTTCCTTCCTTTTTCTCGTTTCCCACATCTTATCCTACCTCTTTCCTTTTTCTTTTTTCTTTCTTTCTCCTCTTTTCATTTTTCCTTTTACTCTTTTCTTTTCATTTTCCTACTACTTTTTTCTTTTCCTTCTACATTCTACTCTTTTCTTTTCTTTTTTCTTCTCAGCTTTTCTTTTTTCTACTACTTTTCTTTTTATTTTTCCTTCTACTCTTTTCTTTCTTTTTTCTTCTTTTCTTTCTACACTTTTCTTTTTTCTCTAATCTTTTCTTTTCTCCTCCTCTTTTCTTGACCTTCTCCTTTGACTCTTTTTCTTTCCACTCTTTTCTTTTTTCCTTTTACATTTTCTTTTCTTTTACTCTTTTTCTTTCCTTTCTACTCTCATTTCTTTTTCTTCTACTTTTTCTTTTCTTTTTTCTTTCTACTCTTTTATTTTCTTTCTTCTATTTTTTCTTTTCACTTTTCTTTCCTTTTTCCTTCTACTTCTTTTTTTTTTACTTTTTTCTTCTCTTTTCTTCCTCATCTGTTTTCCTTTTTCTTCTCTTTTTCATCCTTTTCTATTTTCCTGTTTGACATCTTTGTTCAATCTTTTCTATTACCAAATCTTTCATTTTTTTCCTTTACTTTTTTTTTCTCTTCCTCTCACCTTTTCTTACTTTTTCATTTCTTCTACTGCTCATAATTTCTTCTTTTTTTTCCTCAAATTTTTTTGTTTCTTTTTCATGTTCTATTCTTTTTCACTCTTTTCCTCACTTTATCTTTCTATTGATTTAACACTTTCCCTATTTTATTCTTTTCTTACTTTTACCATTTTTCTTTTTTGTTGTTTTTATATTTTTATTTTTATTTTTCATTCCTTACATATTTTTACTTTCCTGCTATATTTCTTCTTTTTTCTCTTATTTTCACAATTTTTCATTTGTTTTTATTTCTACCCTCAAGTTTGTTCCTTTCACACCATCTATTTCCTCCTCTTTTTTTTTGTATATATATTTTCTTTTTTCTTCTCCCTCCAACCATTTCCTAATTATTTTCTTCCCATTTTCAATTTGCTTTATTTTTTCCCCTTATTCTATCATTTTCCTTCTAATTTTTTTATTCTTTATTTTCTGATTCTATCTGTTTTTGTTTCTCATTCTTTTTTGTTCTCTGCACTTCCTTATATTCACTGTTTCACAGATTTTTTAATTTTTCTCTATTTTTTTATATTTTATTATTTTACTCTTTGTTTATTTTTAAATTTATATTTTCTTCTTTATTTTCTTACTCTACACTTTTAGTTCTTTCTCTCTCCTTTTTTTTAGCACCTATTTTTTTATTATGTATGATTTTCTTTTGCCTCATTCTTTTTCATTGATTATTTTAAGTTCTTTCCTTTTTCTTATTACTTTTTATTTTGTTCTTTCTTATTTTGTCTCAGTTAAGCTTCCATTTTCAAACTCTTTTCAGAAATTCTTTTTATCTTCTCTCTGCCATGTTTGCTGTTTTTCTTTCTTCCTTACTTTCTTTCTCTGTCATTTTTTCTTTTTCCTTCCTTCCTGTATTTTTTCACACCTTTCTTCTTCTTTTTTCTTCTTTGCTTACATAATTTTTCTTCATTTTTTTCTCAATCATCACTGCATTTCCTTTTTATTTTATTTCTTATTTTTCTTTGCCATTCCTCTTTTTGTTTCACTTGAGCTCTCTCCATTTTCCCATCTTCTCTTTTCTATATATTTTTCCTTTTTTTCCCCCCACTTTCTTTTTTTCTTTCTTCATTATTCAATCTAGATTTTTTTCTGATTTCTTTTTCACTGCTTTTCTTATGTTATTTTTATTTATTATTTTTCCTCAACTTCATTTCCCTTTTTTCATCATTGCTGAATTTCTTTTTCTTCTTTTATTTATTTTCTTTAGCTTCTCTTTCACTTAGTCTCCTTCCTCCTACCCACTTTATTTTTCATCATTTTTATTTCTTCCCTCACTATCCTTTTCTTCATTTACTCTTCTACACTTCATATTTGTTCCTTTTGACTTTTCTTAATTAATTTTCTTTCTTCTTAATTTACTTTTTCCTTCAATGTTCCCTCTTCTCATTACTTTCCTAGCTTCTCTTTCCTTTCCTGTTTCCTTCCTCCCATTATTTTCCTAGCCTCTCTTTCTTTCCTTGCCCTGCTACTGTCATTATTCTCCTACTCTATCTTTCCTTCCTTTGATCTTCTTTTTCCTAAAGACAAATGATTGAGTCAAATTCTCCAGAGTCCAGTATCTGCTCTCTCCTTAATTCAGGGAAAAACACCAAGTCAAGCAGGAATGTAATAGCATGGATGTCTCCTTGCCTAATTATAACTGAATCCTATCTCAGAGTGATGTTTCTCCCCCACCAAATGTTCCTTATTTATTAATGAACCTATTCCTACCCATTTGCCTACCATATTGAAATGATTCAATATTACAGACTCTGATTATATATGTACTTGTAATAAAAAAAAAAAAAACTCGTTACTTGCAAACCAGTGTCTGTCATTGTTACACTTGCTGATAGTATTGCCGCCACACTTTTACTTAAAACAATTTGCAGTTCAATAAATTAGCTGTTTGTTTGTTTGATCATTCAAAACAATGTCCTTCTTCCTTTCCATTTTTCTCAATATTTCCCTGTCTCCTATTAATTTTTCTATATCTTCCACTGTTTTTTTTTCAGTAATTTTTTATTTTCTCTTTACTTCTCCTCCTTTTTTCTTTTTCTTCTACTCTTTTTTCCCTTCCTCTCCACCTCTTCTTTTTTGATTTTACTTTTTTGTTTTCTTCTCTTTCCTTTCTATTTTATTTTCTTTCTATTCTATTCTTTTCCTTCTAATCTCTCTACCCATTCTCTTTTACTTTTTCCTTTATGTTACTTCTCTCTCCATTTCTTATTTTTTTTCAATCTTACTTTCATTTTATTTTTAAGTACATTTCAATTCTCCTCTTCTTTTTTATGTCACTTTTTTCTCTCTTTCTCTTTTTTTCATTTTCTCTTGGCTTTTTTTTTCTTTCTTTTATTATCCTTTTTTCTGCTTTTTGATTTTATTCAAACTTTCTGCCATCATTTTTCAAGTTTTTTTTTTTTTTTTTTTAAACCAAAGCTCATTTTTCATTCTTTTAATTGCTGTTTCTTTTTCTATTTTATCTTAGCCAATTCTTTCTTCCAGTTTTATTTCATCAAATTTTTTCTTGTTTATTTCTTAATACTGGAAATATATCTATTTAATAAAAGACGATAAATGTACATTATATTGTGTAAGTTTTATGTGTTTCAAATTTTAATTAAAGTAAAGTTTATTTGAATTAAAATTAAATAAAATAAATTAATTTTCTTTCTTCATGCTTTTTTTGCATATTTTTATCACACTTCCCTTTTTTTTTCTTATTTGTTTCATCTTCTTCTCATCATCTCTCCTGACAACTTTTATTTTATCTTTTTTTTAACTCTGTTCTCCCCACTCATTTCTCTCAATTTGTCTTTTTCTTCTCTCTTCAAGGTTTTACTCTTTCTCTTTCTTTCCTAATCAAATTCTGACTTTATTCTTTATGACATCACTTCTATACCTTTTAACTTTTTCTTTATGTTTCATTTTCTTTTTCACCTCCTTATTCACAACTCAATAATTTACCTCTGCATGTGTTTCTCTTTTATCTTTTTTGGTTGTTATTGTTACCGAAATGATTTTGCACGATATTTGGGGAATGTTAGTTAAAAACTGTTGTGAGTTAATTAAATGAATTTTAATTGTGTTTGCAAAGTATCACGATAGAGATTACTGAGCAAGATTGCTTTCCAATTTGTTAATTTAGATCCTCTTATTAGAAAAAATGAAAGAAAAAACACAGGATAAGAAAAGCAAAAAAAAAATAGAAAAAACACCCAAAGAAGCAAGAAATTTGTTTATTTCTTTAAACAATTCTTTATACTGCAAAAAAAAAAAAAAAAAAAATAGTTTATTTTCGATTTCTAAAATCAAATTTAACCGGCTACATTAGATTCTGTATAAGATTAAAATATAAGTAAAGTGAAATAAAATAAATTTTTTGTCAAAGATGTGATTATATTAAGACTACAGAACTCAAAAAGATATTTATTTGACTGGGGTGAGGGGAGTCATGAAATTTTTTAAGGAAAATGTTTTTTTAGTTGTTTTTGTTTATTTACATTATTTACATTCATATTTCGGCCGTTGTACGCTCCGACCTTCTTCAGCTGAGTGTAATTTTGAACTGAACCCTTTATTTCATCCACCGGAGTAGATTGTTCTAGTCCCACATGACATGTCTCTTCCAGATATCTCAGTTATTTCCCTTTAACTCAATTTGCCAAGTTTTTGTTCACCACTGTAGTAGCAAGGTATTGAACTTGCAACTCTTTGGGTCAAGCCACTGGGACAAACCAGTACTTTTATCCACTGTTGTTTTTGCTTAGTGACATATCAACCTTTATGGGTTATTCAGTGCTGAAATCTAAATATTGTGTATGCAATTTTATTTTATTTTTGGTGATAATAATGGTTTAGTGATACAAGTCTTGCTAATTAACCAATATCTGGGGGATAAGATGTGGATTCATACCTTTCCTATGAGTATTTGCACATAAGTGTATTTAACAAACTCAACTGGAATTGGAACTTGACTCTCCGATTAAAAATTCTGAGGCATTATTCATTACACTAACCATAGATCCAAGCTTACAGCACCTGGTATTCCCAAGCTGTCACTCATCTAAGTAACGACATTGTTTAACTTCGGTGATTGTACAGGGACCCATGTTTTAACATGATGTGTCCATAAATGTAAAGGAAAACAAAAAAAATGTCAAAATTTTGGCTTTTGACTAATACACACGCATATATAATTATTTACCTGCTACCCCATGCAGCAAGATGTGGCACAAGACCGAGTTTAAAGTGGGGTATCCGAGCCCATAGTCTCAGGCAAAAATCCCACATATATATATACATATATATATATATATATTCATTTAAACTTGTCTGATTAAACAATTTAGACATGTTGTGTTTACTTATTTTCAATATGATCCTTTCATAATCACATATAAGCTTTCTTGTTTCATGATTAAAGACAACAATTAAGGTAGTATGGTTATATCTATTCATTTTTATTTTCCCCCTGAGTACTTTCAATATTTCCCAATATCATCACCAGGGTTTGATGGCTAAGACAACCATAGTACATTTCTTGCTGTGTTTAATCATGAAAGAAAGCTTATACATGAAAGGATCTTATTGAAAATATTAAACACAACAGTGGACAGTGAGGTAAACACCAAGCAGTGACGTTTTTTTTATACTTGAATGCATTCTTCATACCTGTTATATTTGCATATCTAAAGTTCTTAAGATTGTGGCTGCCAATAATGAAGGTCTTCAAGTGAAGTGGTTATTTTGGTGATCTTTATTTACACTATTTACATTTTTTGAACTATTGTCCTTATCTCATCTTTATTGTCATATTCACAACGTTTTTGGCCATTGTATGTTCCAGCCTTCTTCAGATGATATACATTGGAATTTATAATTTATTTTGTCGACCATGCCATGCCTTTTCTGGATATCTCAGTTTCAGTTATCTCCCTTTAGTAATTTGAACAATGTCAATAGGGTAAATAGTTAGAATATTTCATATCAGAAACATAGACAGATAGTGAAGTTCTTTGTTGGTGATTCTGTAGCACCAGTCTATGAGATCAAATGAAGGTAAGTCTTCTTTAAGAACCACAGGGTTAGTTTGCTTGAGACCATTTTTAATAATCGATATGAGAAATGGTTGTATATAGATGATAGTTTTGACATTTCTGAATTTGATGTCATACATGTCATCCACATAAGATTCTAAATCTGAATAGACGATTTAAGAACATGATTAAAGTTCTTAGATTAATATTTGGACTTTGTAACATCTTGTGGCGTTGTACAAAACTAACCCTAGCTTAACAGCATACAGTTTTGCTTAAATGGTGTATCATTTATTAAATATAGCATTTTAACATATGAGAAATAGATTTTATTTTAGAACTTTATTCTTAAAATCTATTGACAAGTTTTCTTCATATATAACAATACTAAAACACTGATCAGGTATTTGCCACCCTATGCTATCACAATGTGATACATGGTCAGTTTTTTTTTTAATATAGGTAACTCTACGTTCACTCAATACAGTGCACGAACCAAGGTCACATTTTATGGTGGGTCATTCAGAAATTACCTGTTTTCTTCACACATTGCTAAAGAAATGACTGTGTGCCTCTGAATGAAATGGGAAGGTGTAGTCTGAAGGATGGATACCTGATCACTCGGCTTCAATTAATTATTGATTTTCCAGTCCCACAAAAATCCAGAATAATATTGCAAAAAATTTAAAATACATTGAAATGTAAAATAATTTACAAATATTTATTTATGATCCATTCACAAAACTGGAAATTATTTAATGATTCATTTTTGTGTGAAGCAACTTTTTTAAGTTTAGTTTATTTATAAGATATGTCGGAAATATTTAAATATCAGTATGATTAAATATATGTTTTTCTGTGATTTACCAGTAGTCCAATATCAAAGTTATTCCAAATACTTATCTCCCAAGTGTCAATGCTGTTCTTGAACACAACCTTGACATATTCGGGAAGGGTATTAGAATAATCTAGAACCTATACTGACAAAAAAACACCTAAATACAAATAGAAAATGAATTACGTAAATACACAAAAATAGAAAAAGGTTGTAAGACAAGGATGTGTCTTCTCACCAGACTTATTTAACCTATACAGTGAGTTGATTCTGAGAGAATTAGAAGCCCTACCAGGATTCATTATTGGTGGCTGCAATCATAACAATAGCAGATAATTCAGTGTTGAAAGCAGACATAGAAAGGAAACTACAAGATCTCCGACAGAAAGTAGTAAAGGAAAGAGAGAAGAAAGGACTAAAAATCAATTGCAAGAAGATGGAATGCATGGTTGTCAGCAAAAAGAACAGCTCAACATTAAAATCAGAAATTGGAGATACCAAAATCAAACAAGTACAACAATTTAAATATCTGGGAAGTGTTTAACAAAGGACAGAAAGTGCAATAATATTCACTGTTGTATTTCCAATCAAACTCAGTTTCAACCTAGTATTCATAGACATGGTTTCAGCCTTTATTCCCACTGCCCACTGACTTTGCCATTACTTTCCTGCTTCTTCTTCTATGTGACAATCATGGCTCTCCACAACTTCCTATTACTTGCTGCTCTCAGTAATCTTTTCCCCATCCATCTTGTTGCCATCCATTTATACAAATTGTTTAGGTAGGTTACTCACTGTCTCTCTTACCTTCAATTTTGAACTAGTTCTTTGCCATGATTATGGTTATAGAGGGTTTGTCAATGGGTTTTTTGTGGAAACTGCATTTAAACCTAGAATGTGTTAATTAATTTTATTGATTGATTCTTTTCCTACAGCTTATCAAACTTTTGCAGGTTATTTAAAGCCAGAATATACTTTTAGATTGCAAGAATTTTTTGGGGGGGTGATAATAATGATTTAGTGATACAAGTTTTACTAATTAACCCATAGATGAGGGGAATAGATGGGGAAGTGAATGTAATGATCGGATTTTGAACTTGTCCCTCAGATTCCTCAATCTGAGCTGCTATCCATTACTCCATCATGTCTCCATGATGAACGTATGATGATACATTTGTCATTATGACTGATTCACAAAAACGGATATTACTTATGACTCAACTTAAGAGAAAATATTATTTCTGAGCAATTTACAAAGTTAAATATTGCTAATAAAACTTTTTCATCCCAATCAAGGCAATGAAGCCAGTAAGATGCAAGAAGTGTTGCAGAATATGAGGGAAATAAATACCATTAAGGAAAGAACAGGAATTAAGAAGACATTGCAGTTCAAGTTTTGAAGATCAAATTTGACTTGAAAGCAAGAAACTAGAAGAGAGTTCCTCAAGCAAGAAGTATATGAGAAGAAATTGTTAGCATAAAACTTACAGTCACAGGTAGCCAATGCAACTGTAAAATGATGAGATCTTGACACCAATCTAGTACTACACTTAAATTCATAAAGTCTAAGTATCAAAAAGAAAAGTTTATCTGAACAATTACCATGAAAGTATTTATAGAAAAGGCACAGGGAAGCTATGTTGTAACAGTGGGAAAGTGATTGAAGTTGAGCTACCAGATCAAGAATCTCTAAATATATAGCATAAGCACCTGACCATATGTAGGAACAATATTCAATGCATGGATGAATGGTAGAGTTATAAATATGTAAGATAGATTCTGGCAAGAAAAATTAGTCATTTATGTTATTTATTTCAAACTTTGATTAGTATTCAAAATGATTAGTAAATGTGAAAATGACTGCCAAACAAGTTGTTATTTTTTTTTCTTCTTTTTGTTTCTGATTTCTCAGTCACTTTTACCCATAATATGCATCAGTTTTCACCATATGAGACGAGTCAATAGACAAGGAAAGACAGTGTGGAAAGACTTGCCTTAGGCTTATACAGATAGCATCATGTGTGTTCCCTATACTCGCATTTATCATTTACAAAATCCACATCTCTTGTGAATTTTTTTATCATCTTC